CAAACCATTTAATTCGTGAGGCAGCTTCTTATGCAGCCCCACCCCCCCTCTCGCTATCGTGTCCGCAGGCCGAGAAACTCTCTCTCGGACCCGCCTAATAAACTTTCAAACGACCTGAACTGTCTCCTGGCGGCTCAGGCCAACTCTAATTAAATAAAATTATTGTAATATCTAACATTAATTTGCCTTCGTAGGCACTCCCTCAGCGGCACTTAGCCGCCTGCGCCCTCTTTTCCCAAAAGAGGGTCGCTCATGATAAGGCACAATAGAGCTTAATCAGCCGGTTGCCTGTCCCCAAAGGCGGTTTTTAGAGGGTATCACTTAGGGTCCCCGGTAGGACAGTGAGCCCCTCATAACCACGATAGACCGGCTATCGTGGTATGCGTAATGCATTTTCCGCCTCCCTACGTATAGGGTAGCCCTTTAATTGCTTCGGGCGCAAAAAAAAAAAAAAACTATCACACGGAGTGTTGGCCGCTCCCCGAGCAGAACACCTTTCCCGGCGGGAGATCTCCACTTTTCCTTCCACCGGCCACAAACCAGTGCGTGTTGCCAGTGATTACTTACGGATCTGAGACGTGGTCCTTCACTGCTGGCCGTATGAGGACGCTCAAGGTTGCTCAGCGAGCTATGGAGAGGGCTATGCTCGGTTTCTCTGCGTGATAGACTCAGAAATGAGGATATCCGCAGTAAAACTAGAGTGACCGACATAGCCCAACGGATTAGTAAGCTGAAGTGGCAATGGGCCGGCCATAGCTCGAGGAACCGATAACCGAAGGGGAAGAAAGGTTCTCGAGTGGCAGCCTCGCACCGGTAGGCGTAGTAGGGCGACCCCCCACTAGATGGACTGACGACCTGGTAAGACATGCAGGAAGTCGATGGAGGCAGGTGGCTCAGGACCGTGCTTTGTGGCATACCTTGGGGGAGGCCTATGTGCAGTAGCGGACTTGTGAAGGGCTGTAATAATGATGATGATGATGGACTGTGTGCTTGTTTGTCAGCCTATTCTATCTTAAAATCTTCGCTTTGGACGCTTTTTGGATGCGTGTAAACTTATGGTCAACGAGGCTGTGCTGGCAAGACTGAACTGTTTGTACTTAGTTGGTAAGGCGGCATCGGATTGAACAAAAAAACATGTGTTCACACGAGCTAGAAATGAAACCTTTAGAAAATTGCAAGTAAACTTGATTTGTAATAGCGCCATCTACTTCGTTCTACATGTGAAGTAATTTTATCCAAAAAAACTGGTGGATTCTCAAAGTGTTACGTAAAATAGAGTATAAAATAGAGTGGTGGCTTAAACACCACTAATCTCTTATATAAAAATCAATTTTGTTTTAAACGTGGTAGAGCCATGCTGCAGTTATATTAGTAGTACAGTTGTAGCACGAATGGGTCGGCTCGACCGGGGAAGGACCACGCTCTCACAGAATACCAGCGTAAAATAGCAGCTTAATGCTGCTGTGTTTAGTGTGGTGAGTATAGAGACCCGTAGACCCTTTTAACCTTTTGACTGGAAACTTACGGGGACAACCTTAGAGTAATTACATACATACGTATGCAGTGAGAACGCATCTGCATTTTGATTCGTAATCGAGGGTAGATGTAGATGTGTATGGGCCGCAGCAACCACTTACCATCAGGTGGACTGTGTGCTCGTTTGTCACCTCACCCTATCCTATAAAATAAAATAAAATGCTGTCTTGCAAAAACTTGAAAATGGCTCGCTCGATTTTAATGAATTTTCTTGTGTGTATTTGAGTCAATCCCTGGATGGTTGGAAAACTCAGTTGGACCAAGTAGGTGGCGCTGTTGTCGAGATCCAGAATCACCCGTGCGGAGGCGGTCGGCTAGTTTAATTTAATATTATATCTCATTCTCTCGCAGGCTAATTCCTGCAGATGTAGATATATGTTTTGTCTCTTTTTAGTGTTTTTTTTTTCATCGAGTTTCAAATGAGAAAGATTCTAAAGCAGTTTCAACAGCGAAAAACAAAACACAAACTTCTTTGCAAAGCACTGACCTCTATATATACAAGTACGCTGGACTGGCTATACCATAGAAAATGACTGTGCCAATTTGAAGCGCCGCTAAAGAATGTCTTGAAAAATAAAATTGACATAATATGCCAAAGTCTGTTGTCATATTTAAATTGTCTTATTTAATAAATCTGTATTTTGAACTTTTAAACTAAAAAACGAAAGTATTTTATGTTGTTTGATTGTGTATAATATTAGTTACACAATAAGAATTATTTTTATTAATAATGAGAGTGTGCGTAATCTGTAAAACTCGTTACCAAAAGGGAAGTAGGTAGTATACATTTCACAAGTAAGTGAATTTGCAGCAAATATGAAACAAATTAAAACTATTTGATAATATAAGATTGATAACTTACAAATTTGTTACTAATCTTAATATCATATATACCATCATTTTTGTCTATATATTACTGCGTTTTGATAAACAATAAAATTCAATAGGGTTGTCGAGTCCCTTGTCTATAATACTTATCGATGTTCTTTCCTACCCATATCTGTTAACAAACAAAGTCACTAACAACAGATGATTATCAAATGTTTATTAATTAACAGGTTTCCAAGTGAACCTAGATTAAAATTATGGCTTAAAAGCATAAATATTGTGAATTGACGTCCGAAACAAAATGATCATATTTGTTCTGAACATTTCACAGACGACTGTTTTTATTAGACGTGAGAACTGCACCACTTTGAAAAAGTGCAGTATACCGAAATTATTTTCTGGTAGTACCAGTACCAGTAAGTATAATAGTATGTAGATTATTATTTCAAATGTTTTTTTTTTATTTCTTCTTTCCTCATTTTTCACCAAACTCAAGGGCCATAGCCAAGTGTCGAAAGGTCGCCTGATGATGTCGAGCCACGTTGTATGTGTTTTAATGGGCTGCGGCTAGAGGAGATTCCTCTCCCTGTACCGCTGTAGTCGCGTAAGGGAAGAGGAGTGTTGGTATGGCGATTGGCAATGCGCCACTCAACTATCTTTTGCGACTTTGGTGAGGCTGCACCACTTGATGCTTCCAAGTGATAGTTTTCCCTGGCTCCATTCACATATCGGGCTCGGGGAGTCCATAGTTCAGGTGGAGTTAGAGGACGCGAAGGGCAACGTGGCTTGTTTCTGGTGCGCCTTATCTGAGAATGAAAACGGGGGGAGAAGTTAGCAACTAAGGAGGGCCTGCAATTGGGCGGCATTATTTACACTTACGGCAAATCATGTGGACCTCAAATCTTAGATTGCGATTTATAACAGTTGTATTTTGGTTTAAGTTGGTTTACTCGTTTGAATGAATAAATTCTACCACCACTACCAACTCTGGAGTAACAATAGCCAGTATTGGCTTCTCTACGTTTGTGTTACAAAACGCAAAATGAAGTTATCTTGGTGTAAGACCAAAGAGTAAATTATTCGAGGGTTAGTTACTCTGGTTTAACATAGTATTTGGTCGAATCCATCCTTAATACACAGTTAAATAATTTTAAATAATGTTATGGTATTCTTTAATATAATGTTGTCCTTAGTTCTTGGACAATGTCATCCGAAGAGCTCGTATCTCTATAAATGTTTCCTTGGTTTAAGATCTTTGTAGAATATTTAGAGACGACACCAGGAGACCCGACGGTATGGGTTTGTTGCTTGATAGAAAGAGAGAGAGAGAGAGGAAAGAAATGTTTACGTTTAGTGCATTTACCAAATAATTTTTAAATTTTATTATTTCTAGTGGATTGTTCTAGAAGAAAGAAAAATTATTGTAATAAGTGCCCTCTGTTATCCAGTAACGTCACTATTTATTTACAAATATGTTAGTGATTAACGATGTGTCTACAACGTATTTTAACCTTATGTTTAGTAGCGTCACCTACTGGGAAATAGCTAAAATGTTTTCTAAATAAATATTCAGTGTAGTATTGCTATATTTCGCTAGAGGGTGTAATACATGCGCGTGGTCACAGCTTTTGTATGTAAATGTTCCCAATGTCCGCTCTATAGTGTATATATATATATATATATATATATATATATTTTTTTTTTTTTAAATCTCTTTGCTTCTGTGCATCCTGTTAATTAATATATATTATTTTATTATAGTAGTATTAGTTTATATATACCTAGTCCGGCCATAAGTTCTGTTACAAATGAAAATGCATTTTTTAAATGAAGTATTGTAATATTAATAAAACTTATATGTTTACAATGTTGAAACATGTTTATTAAAGTCTCTGCAAAAAATAAAAACAATATTCTATTCAAAATGGCCACCTTTGGCTTTTATACAGGCCTTTAATCTGTTTGGCCACGAATCTATGGATTTACGCACTGTTTCCATGGGAAATTTTGCACTGCTTGCTCCAGAGATTTTTTAAGAGACTCAATGTCGCCGTGTCGGTTAGAACAAGCCATACCCTCTAAAACCGACCATAATTTGGAATGTGTTGTCTAAAAGGTTGAGGTCTGGGCTAGATAAGGCCCGGTCTTCAGCGATTATAAAGTCGTTACACGTTATAAGTACGTTAGCTTTAAGCCAGGCTTGGGTAGTTCCTGCCTTGTGATCATGGGCAGAGTCCTGCTGGAAAGTCATTTTAAAGAGTGTGTTGCTCATAGGTTTCACAACACGATTCGAGACTGTATCTTGATACACTTTGGCTGAAGTTTTCACTCCTTTTTCACAAAAATGTAGTTTCGTGACGCCTTGATAAGACACCACGTTGTACCTTTCCGACTACTTGAGAGCTTATTTAGAACTATGAGCGTACACTTGATCATTTTGCTTATTGTAGTGCGCTTCAATTGTGAAAATTTTTTTCATCGGTAAAGAATATATTTCTGTACCCTTCACCTGCGTATCACGACAGAAGGCGTTTCGATCGATCCACTCTCTTTAATTGTAAAGATTTATTTAGGACATGTCATATCGAAGATAAGCACCGAGCTTCAGGTTTTGTTTTATAATACGCGACGGAGTCCTAGCGGGAATCTTCATTTCTCGCGATTTTTTGTTCTGGATTTGGATTTCGACGAATTCTGGCTTTAACAGCATTATCAGCCTTTGTAGATCTAAAAGCACGTGGCCTCCCCAATCTTTTATGGTATTCGATAGAGGAAATGTTGTTGTGTTTGTTAATAGTACGATATACGAACATACGGCCGATTCCAAGCTTTTGAAGTGTCTTGAATATGACCGACGGCTCCATACCCACTTTGTGCAAGGCGATCACCGCAATCCTATTTTCTTTAACACCCCATTCCATATTGTAATTTGATAATGAACACGAAAAATATATGGAATGGCGCGAAATCGAAAGAACTTTTAAAAATAGGTAATGAACGCGTTCCAAATTCAAAATAATTAAAAGTTGAAAATAAGAAAAGTTTTTATGTAACAGTATTTGTGGCCTGACTAGTTATATGTAACTATCGTATTATTTTTATGTATTGTATTACTTATATTTTCATTTTTTAGTATTATTTGATATAATTTACGTACCTAACACTTTTTATATTATTTATTCATTAGTACGTGGTAGTAATGTATGCACTAAGTTTGCCATTTTAATATATTTTCCTTTATGTCTACTAGAAGATGTTTCAACAAATTATGGAATAAGTGGAACCTTTGTACGAACTTATTATTAGACTGTTTCTGTCACAAGAAGTGTCTGTTTATGTCACGGAATATACCCAAAGTTTCCTGTGAATTCTCCCATGCATTAAAGATATATTTAATCAGCTCAACACCGGTGCTTAATTTGTTCTATTTGTAGGTGGGCGTATTACCATCAGGTGGACGGTGTGCTTGTTTGTCACCCTTATTCTATAAGCCGTCCACTACCATCTCGAGACGGCGAGGCCGGCTCTGCTCTTTCTGACCGAGACGCAGGCGTCCTCTCCGGCTGATGTCTCGTATCTCTCCTGCCCGGGGTACAAACTGGAACACTCCTTTGTGCCTCGGGCTGGAGTTTGCGTTTACGTCAGAGGTCATCTGTTCTCGACGCCTCGGCAGTCTTGAAGGTTCAGATCTGTCCATCCTTTGGCTACGCGTAGACAGCGACGACCATCGGCGCGTCTACGGGTGTCTCTATAGGTCCCATAGCGGTAATGCCAAAACAGACCGACTCTTCGACCACGTCCAAATGGCTGCAGATTCGTTGCTACAGCAGATCTCCATCACGCAGACCGGCTTGGTTCACGTTTAACCGATCTTGCGGGGAGATCTGTTCATGATTTTGCCTTGGCATATGGTCTGCCACAACTGGTTACTTAGCCTACGCGGATTCTAGATGTGGAGGATCATGCACCTTCCCTGTTGGACCTTCTGCTGACTTCTCACCCGGACGGATATCAGATTTCCGTCGACGCCCCTTTAGGCTCCTCGCACCATTGTCTTGTCTGAAGTGTGGTGCCACTCACGCTGACATCGCAGTTGCATTCTGCAGGCTGCCGCCGTGTTTGGCACTATAGGTCAGCCGATTGGGATGGGATGCGGTCTTTCTTTGCATCCTACCCTTGGGGGCGGGTTTGCTTCTCGCCGGACGATCCCAACGTTGTTGCAGATTCTGTCGCTGATGTGGTACTTCTGGGTATGGAACTTTTTATTACTTCCTCTGTGGTGCTCATTGGAGGCAAATCTCAGCCATGGTTTGGTCGCTCCTGTAAAATAGCATTATGCTATAAGCAGGAGTGCTACCAAGCCTGGGCTGACGCATCAACTTCCCGGGATGTAAACACCAGCGTTCTAAAAAAGAAGTATAATTCCGCCTCTAGGTCCTTCAAAAGAGTCATTGCCAAGGCAAAGTCAGAGCACATAGGCAGAAGTCTAGTGGAATTTTTGTCAGCCATCTCTTCCATCTCTGCACAGGGAGCACGACTCACTGGCCCATACCGCAAGGAGAAAGCCGATCTGCTAGGCTCTTTCTTTGCGTCCAACTCGACTATTGATGACGAAGGGAGTACGCCGCCGACCATCCCGCGGTGTGAGTGCTCCATGCCCGAAGTGCAGTTCACACAGCGCTCGGTTCGCAAAGCATTCCTCTCCCTGGACATCCACAAGTCGAGTGGGCCTGACGGAATCCCCCCAATTGTGCTGAGGACGTGTGCTATAGAGTTGGCACCGGTTTTAACGCGTCTTTTCCGGTACTCCTACTCCCTAGACGTAGTTCCAAAATCATGGAAGACGGCTTTCGTCCACCCGATCCCTAAAAAAGGTGACTGCTCAGACCCGTCCAACTACCGGCCTATCGCAATCAACTCCTTGTTCTCCAAAACAGTAGAGTCTGTTGTTAACTGCCAGCTCATGAGGTACCTTGTGGATTACCAACTGATTAGTGATCACCAATACGGTTTTCGACGTGGTCGATCAGCTGGTGATCTTTTGGTCTATCTAACTCATAGATGGGCGGAGGCAGTAGAGTCCAAGGGGGAGGCATTGGCCGTTAGTTTGGACATTGCGAAGGCCTTCGATCGGGTGTGGCACAAAGCGCTTCTTTCGAAGCTCCCTTCCTATGGGCTTCCCGAGAAATTGTGCAATCGGATCACCAGCTTTCTTGCAGATCGGAGCATCAAGATCGTTGTTGACGGTGCAAGCTCCGATAACAAGCCTATTAATGCTGGTGTTCCACAAGGCTGCGTGCTATCGCCAACGCTGTTTCTTCGGTATATCAATAATATGTTGCAAACCTGTAACATTCATTGCTATGCAGATGACAGCACTGGTGATGCTCTGAACACCGACCGTGCCAATATTTCTCGGAAAAACGTCTCCGAGTACCGGTACAAACTTGTGTCTGAAGTCGAGTCTTTGCTAAACAGTCTCGGATTGGGGGCGACTAAATCTAGTCCAGTTTAACCCTCAGAAGACACAAGTTTGCGCGTTAACCGCTAAAAAGAACCTTTGTCGTATCTCCTCAGTTTCAAGGCACTCTCCTTGTTGCCTCAGCCAGTATCGGAATCCTCGGCGTCGACATATGTGTGAGTGACGTGCAGTTTCGTGGTCACTTGGAAGAGACGGCCAAATTGGCTTCTAAAAAGCTTGGCGTGCTCAGCAGAGCGGAACAGTATTTCATGCCGGCACACCGCCTGCAACTTTACAAGGCGCAGGTTTGACCGCATATGGAATACTGTTCCCATCTCTGGGCTGGGGCTTCCCAGTACCAGCTCCTTCCACTTGACCGCATCCAGCGCAGAGCGGCTCAAATCGTCGACGACTGAATGCTTTCCGATCGGCTCGATTCACTGGCGCTGCGAAGAGATGTTGCATCTCTTTGCATTTTCTTTCGCAAATACCATGGGGAGTGCTCTGAGGAATGGTTCGGATTAATCCCAGCCGCCAAATTTGATGAACGCACTACGCGGCAATACTCCCGATAAAATCCACACCATCTGGATGCTTGGCGGTCCACCACTGTACGTTTCACAAGGAGTTTTCTTCCGCGTACTACCTCTCTGTGGAATGGAGATTTTTCCGGACCCATAAGACCTGGGGACCTTCAAGAAAAGAGCTCCTTTCTAAAGGACCGGCAAGGCACCTGTAATTTCCCTGGTGTTGCGGTTGATTCGGGCGGCGGTAGTCACTTAACATCAGGTGAGCCGCATGCTCGTTTGCCCCCTCTTCTATAAAAAAAATTAAATCCAATCTTGGAAGCCTCGAGGACAGACCCAGCCACTTCATGCATTTCGGAGATTGTGCTGGAATCACATGCCTTACTCCCTCCTTCCCCTTAAATTGCTTCTTAGGGAGAATATTTTCCAGTTGCCACGCTTGGCAAACAGGTTGGCGAGCGCAGTTTTTTATTTTTAGTCGATGTTAGGCGGACGCTGCCGCCCATCTGATTTGGTTGCCTCTGTCGCCTCCTCCAACACCCACGGGATGATATGGGGTAGTGGATATTCTTTACCCTGTCCCCCCCCCTCTCCCCTCTTTACACGCTAATGGCTATCACACCCTTAGTAGAGCATGGGGATAAGAATCACTCATTCAAGTTGTTGCAAGTCGTGTACATGTTACCTTTCACGTAAATAATACAACAAAAGTATAATTTTAAATTTTATTCCAACTTAATGCTATAAATTTCACAATTATACTCTAATTAAATATAAAGTTAACTTTAATTATACGTAATATATTAGTGTATTTGAAATAAATCTCTCGGAGCACAGTGAATGTTAACAGTCGAAAGAAAATACTCAACAGGTGGCGAGTATTACGTAAACAAACTTTTTATGATATTAGCATCCCCCCCCCCCCGTCCACAAGTAAAAATGAGAACATAGGAACTCCCCCTTTCCCCAAATGATAAGACGTAAGAATTTTTTCTTTCCTCATGTGGTAAAGTTAATTCTCGGAAATATACATTTATTTATTTTTATATATTTTTTTAAATAAATTCGGTATTACCATAATAAAAATAAGACTATTAGTTAGATTTTTTTTAATTATTTATTGTTTTATAATTTTTTATCTTACGTTAAAAGTTCAATATTTCTCCTGCCCCATTTGCCAGCACAAGTAAGAAAAAATTAAAACTAAGTTCGTTACGTTATACCTGAACGCGCCCCCATATATGCATTTCGTATAACTTTGGAAATGTATACAATTCAAAATTCCGAAAATATTTTCACCCTGTGATATATTTTTAGTGTACTTTAAGATATATACATATTTTTATAAATAATCTGTCGCAGCGCTGTCGTCGCGCCACAAGCGGAAACACATCGAAGACTAAATCAAAGTTCCGAAGTAAAACAGTACAATATAGAATAGCTCCGAAGTTACACACGTGAACCACAGCTTCAAGCCTACTTCATTATACACTGAAACCCTACTAACTGTGAAGACACAGGAGTGAAATGAATGGTTAGTAGTTAATGAGTATAATAACGCGAAGACTCTTGTGTTTCATCAAAGAGATTTAAACATATATACTGTAGAGCGGACATTAGGAACATTTGCATACAAAAACTGTGAACACGCGCGTTTCAATCCCTCTAGGGAAACATAGCAATACTACGCTGAATATTTATTAGGAAAACATTTGAGCTATTCCCCATTAGGTAATGCTACTAAATATAAGGTAAAAAAATCCGCTTTAGGCACGTCGTCAATCAGTAAGTAAGTCATTGGTAAATAAATAGTGACGTTACTGGATAACAGAGGGCGGTTATTACAATAATAATAAATGTTCTAGAACAATCTACTAGAAATAATAAAATTTAAAAATTGATTTGGCAAATATACATTATTCTTACGACAATA